AGAGTAAATGACGCAGTAATTATCCGTCATTCCAACTGACATCATCTCTAAGGGTGCTATCACTTGATGGCCAGAATGCCAAGCGGCCATTTTAATAAGTAATTCAGGATCCTATGATGGATGAAAGACCCCAATTGCAAGTTTGACAGATAACTGGGTGGAGCAAGAAGTGTAAATGCTCTTTTACCAAATGTAATGCAGAAAAGACACCAAAAAATTGCTTCACCCCATGCTTCACCTAAATATCTGGGCTGCTGCCTGTTGGGTTACTTTCACACTTGATTTCCTCCTAGACTTGCCTCAGGTAAGATCGGCAATCCTATATTACAGCAGCCTGGAGCCTAAGAGATGGAGCAGGATTCCTGCAGCTTGCCATAGACATGGTAATGAGGCCTTTCTCTGAATGGGCCAGGCTAGCCACACGAATGGACCTGTATGTGCAAAAATAGGCAGCATGATGGCTCAGTAGTTAGCACTGCTGCCTCACAGTGCCAGAGACCTGGGTTCGATTCCACCCTTGGGTGACTGTCAGACTTTGTATGAGTCTCCAGGGTATGTGTAGTGCCAGCACCTGAGCTGGTGTCTTGGAGCATCAGGTCAAGTGATAGGGCACCTTCACCAGTGATGTCTTGTTGCTCTTTTATCCCTTGTTGCTCTTTTTCTCCCTCTTAGCGCTGCTGTTCCTGTTCAGGAGGCATCTCTTGAGTATCCAGAAGCAGGATAGCAGAAGGCAAGGTTGCTGTGAAGGAAGGGGTTGGGTTGACAAGCAAGAAGTGGATAGTCATACCATCTGCAGCATAGTCATTATGCCAGTTAGCAAAATGCTGTAGAGGGCATTGCAACAAGACCTATGATGCTGAGGGACGGCATCACCTCCATAGGGTTCAGGATATGGAGGCCTCTTGTCTCCTGCCAGCTATGCTCACTCCATTCTGTTATGTGACATCATGTCTTGTGAGGAAGAGGGTAGAGTATCAGTGGTTGTGAAGAGCCGTGTTTGGATGTTGTGTCTGCTATAGCTGTACAGCTGACGATGCAGGGGAACAGTGAGAGTTGGGTGTCACGTTACTGCAATGGTAGCTATATGAGGGTGAAGTGGATGATCTGAAAGTAAGATGTCAATCCTGAATGCCAGAGAGTGTTGCTGGGAGAATGATGGGGAGAGCCATGCATTCAGCAGCATGAGAGGCTGGCAATATGATGGGTGGGAGATGTCATGTGAAGAAGATTGACCTCGTCAATAAGTGGTGGTAGTAAGACATCTTCTGACATTACTGCCATGTCCTTGGGTCCAAACTTTGGGAATGACTTTCCAACTCATGTGTTCCCACTCCTTTCTGGATCTGGTGCATGTGAGTATACAGGAGCTCCACATGGACCGTGAAACATCTCCTCATGCTCACTTGCTTCAATAACACCTCCAGTGCCACATCCATCAGTCTGGATCCCTCAGTCTGCCCTGGTTTTCAATTTACAAATTGCAGAAACCTTTTTGTGAAACATCCATTTAGGAGGCAGTGCCTTTAAGAAAGAGGAGCCTGTTTGCATCATGTAGTCTGCAGCAATGACGCTGGAGTCTCCTGTTGTATAGAGACCCCAGACATTAAGATGAAGAGGCACAGGAGGTACACTAATCAGCACTAAAATTATTCAAACACAGTTAGGAGATGAACTTTATGTCCTGTAAGACTCAACCTGAACTGATGTAGGTGCATCATAATTTGCAGCTCTCATGCCTAAAAAAAGACACAGATTAATTTTGTGCTCCAATTACCCCTTTTTGCCCACCAAATGAACAACATTACAGCAGTAACAAAGTAGAGCATAATACAAGCAAATGAGCCTTTCCCTTAAATTTCATTTCTGTACCAATTTTACAATCTCACAGCACTTTTCCTCATGTTGGAGTGATTTGGTTGCTGCATACTAAATATTACTGGATAAAGTACACTTTGGTGGGCAGGAGATTGTCCTGTTAAGATGGACAGTATTGGACCCCACAGAAGCAAAGTGAGAAAAATGTCAAACATAGCAGCTGCAAATGAGGTAAGCATGGATCTCTGTTGAGTTTCTGATTATATTTTAATCCTGTACTTCCATTGAGTGGATAATTGACTCTTATCAACTTCATTAATGAATTTTTTTTTGGCTAGGTGCACATGTGCAGCTGGAGTAAATGGCATAGAATTTCCAGGCACCAAATGGACCCCCTGCGGACTGCTCTCATGCGGATGAGGATGGCAGCTGCTTGGCATGGTAATCACATAACCTCGGTAATACAGATTGCCCTGTCTCTAGAGAACAGGATGTCTGTTCCATATCACTCTAGCCAGAAGTCAGTTTGTTCAAACGATTACCCTGAAATGGTGTTATGTCAGTTGTCAGGATACTGGAGGCTGATCTTCGAGATGAATTACTACCAGCAACCAGTTTGACAGTCAAAGAATGAAAGCACCTTCAATTCATGTAAGCACTTGGTCTTCTGAGGGGGGGCCATGGGATGACAGGCACGATGCCCCTGGGAGCCTGCAACCTGTCTAAAGCCAATATAAAAAATCCTATCTTGCTATCTCAGGTTGCCCTTGGGGGAAGTAATGATTTGTGCTTGCTCTGGTATGTATGGAATCCCCTGTAACATTTCATGTGCAAGTATAAATCACAGACTGACACATGACTAATATTGTTGTCTGGAAGGAGCTGGAGGCAAAGAATTTCAAGGCAGCAGTAACTTAGTCACAGGATAAGCTTTACTTGTCCTAGCAGTTGTCTGCAGGAGCTGAACTTTCTCTTACATCTTGCCGCTCCTCCACCCTCTAGGCACGGGGGAATTCCAAGCAGGATCACCATGATTCGGAGCATGGGCTCCTTGTTTAAGTGTTCGTGGGATAAACATAGTCTCCTTGTTGCAGATGCAGCCAAAGATCACAATGGTGCAAAAGATCCATCTGAAAACGAAATGATCCCTTGAAATGTTGCTGAAAATGCTGGTTGGTGAGTTGTCAAACTGTTGGTTGTTTTCTTTTTAGGCAGCTCCTTGAGAGATCAAGGGTAAATTTGTTCGCATTCCTCTTCGATTAATTTTGAGAAGGCTGATAAATGCAATGTGTGACTGACTGACAATGTGGGCCAGGTGGTTGTTGGAGAGTTGGATAGATGAAGTGTTTGAAGCTCTCTGTTCTCTCCGATGCTTCACTTTCACTTCTGCATGTGTCCCGACAAAGTCTTTTGGTGTATTCTCAAATGAATGCGTCAGCAAGGATGTTCATTCTGTTCAAGGATGCTTTGAAGACATCCCTAAAGTGTTCACCTGTAAATGTCCTTCCATGGCCAAGTTCAGGAAGCTGCTTTCAGGCACAAGGATGATGTGTTCCAGCCAGAGGAGTTAGTGTGGCCTGATTAGAACCCTGATGCTGGGCGTGTTGGTTTAAGAGAAGAAGCTGCCTTTGGACTACCTTTCGCCTGTTATACTAGATGATCTTGTGAAAGTATCATTGTTTCTCCAGTGCTTTGAGGTGCAGCTGTACATTGTCCAAGCCTCTGAAACAAAGAGGAGCAGAGGACATTGGCTGCTCACTTAACCACGATCTTAGTCTCAGATTTGAGATCCCTGATCCTAAAATGCTGTTTTCCACAGTCAGCTGAAGGTTAAGCTGGCACATTGGAGACAACAATGAATTTCATTGACCAAGTCTGCCTTTGTCAAGAGGAGGTTCCCAGGAGATGGAAAATGGTCTACCATTTCCAGGACCTCACCGTTGATCTCAATCAAAGTGTGAGGGGTTATGTTGTGGGACCTAGTTGGAAAAGGTTCTTTGTTTTTTGGATGTTCAATGAAAGGCCCGTTTTCTCGTAGGTCTCGCAAAATGAGTTGACAATGACTTGACCTCAAAAATATCATCAGATCTAGAACTGAGTTTGAAGTGATTTCGGTTTGGATTGAAGGCACTGTAGGTTAAACAGTTTCCTGTCTGCTTTTAAAATTTATCTCCACGATGGTGGATAGTTTATTGGAAGTGATGTAGAGTATTGCAGCAAAGAAAATGGAGAAGAGTTTTATGTAAATGTTGTTAGTATTACAGGGCCACAATTTACATACATTTATTAGACTCCTGTCAGTTTTGATTTGAAATACTTGCTGCATATATTGAGGCCCTTCAAGATCAGGCTAGGCTATCCTCTTGCATAATTTCAGTACAAACTCTATTTTCTTGTTGGTTCCACTCTGGTCACATTATACATACACAATAACACAGGCATGTACCTATATACACAGGTAAAGGTACCCACACACACACACACACACACACATAACCACAGTAATCAGAACATGGGGCAGATCATTTAGGACTAAAACTGAGGAGGCATTTTTTCAGCTTGAGGGTAATGAATCTGCCCCAAACATGGCTCAGTCACTGACAATATTCAAGGCAGAGGTTGATAGACTTCTTCGTATTAAAAACATTAAGGGCGTAGTACAGGAAAATGGTGTTGAAATAGAACATCAGCCAAGACCTAATTCAACGGCAGAGCAGGTTTAAACAGCTGAATGACCTACTCCTGATCTTATTTCTTAGATTGTGTTCTTATGCACGTTACATGCACATTTGAATACAGCACACGCATCTGCACTTTTGCACATGTTCTCACACACACATACACAAACACAATCGCAGATGCTGCCAATATTTCAAGAAGATATATGTTAAATTTAAAATGTATTTACAGTATCTGTAAAGTCATTAATTTCCATGTATGCCTGTCAATAAATCACCTGAACATATTAATCTTATCTCTAATTATTTTTAATAAATTTAAACACAAATAAATGTATTGACTAAGTATCCAAAACTAACCATCTTCAAGCAGTAATTATCTATATCACCTGTTTTTGTGTCAACAAACTGGGAATGATTCCTATATTAATTCCATAAAAATGTAACACTTTTATATTCTAACCAAAATAAAACCTCACATGTAAGAGTAAGTCATAATTCAATTACCTGATTAATCTGCTCATTTTCCATCTTTTGAAGTTCAAGCACAGAAGCAGCGTTCTCCACTCCCAGTAATCTGCGTGCCATCTTTTGCTCATAGGTTAATCGCTAGAATGAAGAGAAATTTGCGTTGTATTTCAATGCGAAGAACAATTCTTGCTTTTAGAAATTCTAAAATCAAATATAACTTCCTAAAGTAAGGCTCACCAGAACTGAGTTATCCTGTTAAAAACGAAGTTTGCATTACCGAAAACCTTTCTAACCAGCATGTAAAAAATGCATTCATGGAACTTCCTCAAAATAAATTAAACCATTGTTAATTCTTTAACAAAGTTGGTGTGTTTGGCAGTCACTAGCAGAGTATTCTGTTTTTAACTTCTGTTTTAGGCTTCTAATCCAGTTTATGTGGTCAGCAAAGGGGTTGCAAACATTGCTGATCTCGTGGAAAACTGCCTCAAAATCCTTTGTGTTAAGCAGTTTTTCCAACAATCACAAAGACAAAACAGGCAGGAGCTGCCTGCAGAGTTTTGCGAATCCATGGAATTCTCCACCACAGATGCTCAATCCCTGAGCATGTTCAAGACAGTGATCAAACATTTCTGGAGACTAATAACTAAGGGATAAGAATATAGCATGGGAGAGTGGCACTGAGGTAGATGATGAGCCGTAATCTAATTGAATGGTGAAGCAGGCTTCATGTGCTGAATGGCCTTCTCCTGTTCCTACATCAGCTATACTTGTCACATGCATTTGGGAAGAGGTGCAAACAGCGAGAAACTGAGAGGAAACAATTTAAATTTGTGCAAACAGTGAAACCTTAATTTACTCACAACAAATTGTTTCAACACAGTTCACTCAGAATTGCAAGGAAATTCATCCTTGGGGAGAGGGGGGCAAAAAATCTTTCACATTGTAATAAAGGGATAGTTTCATGCATGAATGAAAATATGAAACTAGTCATCTAGTCCACGTTGGTACTACTTTCCGCATGAAAGATTGAAGAAAGATTACATTTCTGTATGAAATTATTTTAATTGGTGATGTACATAGAATGCATTTTTACCAAGTTCTGAAAAATTTGTAAATCAGAGTTCAGAAGCAAGTTATCACCTCTGTTGTAACATATGAAGGAAAGTAATTGTGTTGGGCTGGCTTTATTAGTACAAGACATAATAAGTACAAGAGCAAGAAATGATCCAGGATGGCATAATGTTGAATGCTTATGCGTGGAATTCAGAAATTACAAGGAGAAGAAGACACTGGGGGAGTAGGCTCCCTAGCAGTTGCTGTTCCGAAGGACAGAGAATAAATCAGAAGATAATGAAGGCATGTAAAATGGGTGACTTTAACCTTCATGTACATTGGAAAAATCAAATTGGCAAAGGCAGCCACGAGGAAGAATTCATTGAGTGTATTTGAGATTGTTTTCTAAAACAATATGCTGTGGCTCTACCAACGGATCAGGCTCTTTGGGATCTGGTAATGTGTCATAGGGAAGGTTTAGTAAATGATCTCAGTGTATAAGATCCCTTAGGTAACATTGGCCATAATACAGTAGGATTTAGCATTCAGTTTGAGAGTGAGAAACTTGGTCAGAAATATCTTTGCTAAACCTAAGTCAGGGTAATTACATCAGGATCAGGGCAGAGTTGGCAGAATAAATAGGGAAAGGAGTTTAGCAGAAAAGGATATTGAGGAACAATGGTATGTGTATAAGAAAATAATTAGTGAATCACAGCAAAGATATATCCCGCTGAAGAAGAAGGATTTTCCATTTAGGAGCTCTGCAACCTTCCAGACTCAATATTGAGTTTACAAGGTGCAGGGCTGGATGAACACAGCAGGCCAAGCAGCATCATAG